GACGTCGCGGTCGACAGTACGAGCAGCAGACGGACGCTTCCGCGCACGGAAATCATGCTCGTCGACTGAGTCGTCTTTCTTCGTCGAGGTTGCTCGAGGCCTCGAGCCGCTCTGCCCGAATCGCTCGTTACCGTTCTTAATCGTCTTTTCCTCTAACTCTCTCGCTCACGAGGAGCCGCGTCCTCGTCGTTTACCGCTTTTCGCGTAACGCTCGAGAATTGACGAACAATGGTCGAGTTTGCGTGCCCGCCCGAACCAGCCCAATTACGGTTTGTCGCGATCGCGCCACCCCGTTCTCCGAACCGATCACCCGCACGCTAACAAGGCAAGGATTTACCAACGCGTCATCGTTTAGTTTCTTTCTTCCTTTATTATCGACAAAAGACGAGTTAGCTGGACTAAAAAACTAAGAACAAAGCTGGATGACGGAAACGCTACGGTGAACGGACGCGCCGCGAACCTTCTTCGGGGGACTAAGAGAGCCTGACGCCGCCGGATCCGGGACATTCGCCCTTTTGCTTCGTCGTCAATTCTGCGCAATTCGAAAAGAGAACGTTTAGAACGATTCCGAATTTTTACTCGCTCGTACGACTTACTCGTGCCCATCTCGCAGTTGTGAACCTCCAAAGCGCACTGGGTACCGAACGTTCTAGGCTTGACGTTGGCGTCGTTCGGGTCGTGAGCGCAGACAGGGTCGTAAACGGTGCCGCATTCCTTCTGACAGTCCTTCTTGTTCTTCTTCGCTTCCTTGGCAGCCTTCACGGCGTCCTTCACGTCCTTCGAGGCTGTCGCGGACTCCTTGATCTCCTTCGGCTCTTTCACCTGCTTGCTGGAGGCGGTGGTCGCGTCCGACGGCTCGGCGTACGTCTCGTCGAGGAAGGCGAGCGCGCACGCGAGCGCGAACGCTAACGGAAAACGATTATTAAACGATTCCAACTTCGTATCTCCTCGTCGATACGCACTGTTCGATCCTCGTTCCGTACTTACCGAATACAACGAAAGATTTCATGATCTCGAAGACGAAACTCGCGCTGTTCAGAACGATAGGTGCGTCGAGGAAAAAGCAACTGAATCGTTCTGGTGGGCAGCGATCGGGTTTATAAACGGACACACCCCCACCGAGTTTCGTGGTCCGGAAAACGCGAGAAGACCGAGAGGATCACGTAGCGGCAATCTTCGAAATTGCTCGCGCCTCCGCTGCGCACCGACGCGACGGTACGCGACGGAATTGCTAAGTGTCGCGATTCTGCTGGATGTGGGACGAATGGACGGAGAAACGAGAGAGTTCGCGACACGGGCGTAACTTGCATTTATTTGCGTTCGAAGCGCTCGTACATCGCGATGAATAAATAAATAAATAAATAAATAAATACAAAAATCGCATAGAAACATGCGAGAATCGATAGTCAAACGTTATATCGGTAACGCGTTTCCTCGAGGATGTAACTGGTCAATAGCTGCTCGTAATCCGGCCAGATCCGGTCGTCGCTCGTCTCGTCTCGTCCGGTTCGACACCCAAAACCGGAGCATTCGTTCGTGGCTCGCCCGTACTTGTCCAGCGCGTCGTTGACGACCACCGTCAATCTGTTCAGTCGATCCCAAACGCTCGAGTTTGCTGAAAAAGCGAAACGTTGAGGATCGAGACGAAAGAGAACAGCGGTCGAGAGCTTACCGTCGACGAACCCTCGTCCCTCGTCGTCCTCGTCGTCGCTCGAGTTCACCTTGTTGCCCTTTTTGATCTCGAGCTTCGGGATGAACAGCAGCAGGCAGATGATGGCTATGAACTTGACGATCAGCTTAAAGATGACTAGCTTAAGCAGAATCTTGGCCAGCGTGAAGGCGTTGAGCTTGAGCGCGAACGGCCAGGAGAAGTCGATCGTGGGCAGACCGATGTGCGTCGTTTCGGGCATGTCGTGCGAAGTTCCATGTCCGTAAGGGAGGCCGTAGCTGGTGCTCGGCGGACCATAAGCTACAAAATCGATTCGATAATTTCCGCGGGTCTCGAAAAAGGGATAAAGGGAGGAGAAGCTCGGAGACGAGACGGCAATACGATACCTCTTCCCTCACCTTGCTGTGGCGGCAAGTAAGCGTTCCCGGCGTGATCCTGCCCGGAGTAGTAGTCGTTGAAGGCTGGACCGTAGACGGGTCGAGGAGTCTGCGGGGGTCCGTAAGTGTTTCGTACCCCGGCAAAGTCCGCGGCTGTTCGACTCGGCAGGGTGTACGAGTCGCTGGGGACCATGGAGAACGAGTTGCCGGACGAACCTTGATGCGTGATCCTAGAGTCGATTTCCGTGCGTTTCGGCGCGTACACCGGCCCCTGCACGTACTCTTTCCGCCGCTGGAAGGATCCCTTCCCGTCCACCGCCACGATTCCCTCGCGAGGGTCTGTGCTGGTGCGGGAGTGCCTCAACGCCTCCAGATAGCTGTCCTTCGAGTCTCTCCATACGACGCTCCTTCCCGGCTTGGACGTCACTACCTCTTCCGATCTGGCTTCCGGTTTTTCTTCTGGAACGCTCGCGGTGGTCGATGGTTCATCGCCGTTCACGCAGACGATGCACAATATTCCGAGCGCGAAAATCACTCGCACTTTCATCCCGATCATCTCGAACTTCTGTTTCGAACCGTCACCAATCGATCGAACGATCTTCGAGCCTCGTTTTCGAGTGAGGCTCGACGGACAAACGACACGAAGCTTCTTCCCGCCCCTCTGAGGGAACGCAGCCACGGCATATTAAGCGACTAACGGACCTTCTTGTCCTTCGTGGATTCGCGAGCTCTCCAACGAGCCGAATCCGATCGGATCCAATCGTATCGAAAGAAAGGCGTCGACTCATTATCATGCACTCGACGATCGCGCGATAACGGTGTCGACGTACCACCTACGATCCACTGGCACACTTGGGGCGCACGCCGAAAATCGGTCGCGACGTTCCAACGCGTCCGCTCGTGGAAAGGGAAACTCGTCGCGCGATCGATGCCGTTGCCGAGTTTCCCGGGGCAACTGAACTAATCGTTAGATCGGTCAACGACGATGCCTTTCACGACGGTCGACACATCGTGAGTACCTCGCTTAATCAAACCGTTCAACGCTCCAACCTTGTCTTCGTCAGGTGGGCGATTTTCGGAAGGAGCGACTGTGCGCTCGTCGGAAAGCACACGCTCGCCACGGTGTCTGGCATACACGGCCGCTTCCTCGACCTGCGGAGCGGACGAGTGCAGATCGAGCGGTTCGAGGGTCCCGAACGAGGAGACGGTGCATCCCGCGTCGCTGGACTCTCGGTGAGTCGCGAGATCTGAACGATGAATAGGATGAACAAGGTTCGGGCTAATGACCATAGTAGTCGACGCCCGCAACAAGAATCAATCAATCAATGAACAAGGTGTCTGTCGGAAGGCGGTGTCGGTATTCTCCCTGGTCGAGCGAAGAGCGAATCCTAGAATCACCGTGTTCTCGTACCCCGGAATTAAAAGGATCAGCCGGTGCGTCGACAGCGAGGAGGCGCACGGTTATCTCTGCTGCGCTTTCGCCGGTACCGAGTACCTTCTCGGACAGACCACCTTCCCAGACTTCGAGCTGGTGCTATGGCGCTGGAGAACCGGCGAACGATTGACGTCGGTTCGCGCGGCGAACACCGTGGACGTCGATCGCACGATACTCGCGTGAGTACGTTCGATCCAGAACAGATTGCAACGAGACACGAATCATCATAACAGTAATAAACCGAAGAATCTCCTGGACTTTCTCGAACTGTATACGAAAGCTAAAAATTACGACTATAACCTTGAACTCAATATTCAAATCTGCTGGGTAGAAACTGGCTCCTTGGCCTTTTACTGCTGCTACCTCTACTATTTTAATACTCACATAATTCATACATCGTATAATTTATATATTAACCCTTTGCACTGTTTTGACGAGTCGGACTCGTGACGCACTCGAACTTCGGCAATGATTAATTTTACTCGAATTTTTAGTACGCTTCAATTGGAAGTTCAAGTCCAATTATAATTTGCATAGTCAACGATTGTATAATTACATATTGACATAACATTTCAAATTTTGTTGTCTGTGTTAATATTGCAGCTGTAATTAGTCAGTTCTGACTAACGCACCATAGTGCAAAGGGTTATATAATTTATTCACACTCGCATGATCTAACCTATAAGTCTACAGATCCTTCATCGCGTTGCAGATGTTCCATCGATTCGGGACGATTGGTAGCACGATGCTGCACGAACGGCACTCTCTCTCTCTACCGCGTTCTAGCATGTTCGGACCTGGTCCGACTATTTCCCCTCGAGACTATACCCCGCGAGACGAGCTCCGTTTCCTGGTCCCGCGACGGGACACTGCTGTGCTGCGACGAGGTCGGGAACCTCTGGTCCGTGGAGTTCGAGGAGGACGGGACGAGTCGAATTCGTACGCTCGTTGATAACCAAGTTGGTACGAGGAGGAATTCCATGGTGGTAGCTCACGGAGACGGAGCGCTGGTTTTCCATCGATCGATCGAAGGAACTCACGCTCGAGCCACGGTAAAATCTCCCGCACGAGCAGATCTGTACACGATCATTTTCCGTTTTCGTAGTTTTATAGGAAATCGGGGGATCGGACATGGAGCGAGGTGTGCACGAGTTCCCTGCCTTGTTATCCCAGTCACGCGGTGAGCGATCCGCGTGAGGAGAAGATCTTAATTCTCGGGGAAAGGGATCTCTACGAAATTACCAACGCATCGACCGATCTTCGAATCAAATTACTGTCAGGCCACGCGGATTACTCTACGATCGCTCCGTTATCGAACCACCGTTTCGTCGCTTTGGATCGGTCCGATCGATTGCACGTGCTTGACGGATCCACCGGAAGCGTCTCTTCGACAAAATGTTTGACACACCATGGCAAAGGTGGGTGTAGAATAAAAAAGCTTGAGAACAAGGTTGATCGTTTCGATCGTTTCAGTGGCTCGTTTAGCTCGTCACCCTTCGTTACCGATCCTAGCGACTTGCAGCGTCACGGGAAATTGCCTTCTCGTCGAAGGAACCTTGAAGATCACGAGCTGCTTCCACCTTCAGAAGGAACCGTTGGATCGCATAGAGTTCTCCGAAACGGGTAGAGCACTTTGTGTCGGAAGTACTAAACTTGACCGACTGTTCATCCTCTCCACGTTGAATCCCGAGAGAATTTCCTGGCTAAACATCGGTCGGAAGGTAACTTCGAAAGCTTTCCTATGATAACTATTACTGACAGTTTCGCTGACAGTGGATCGACTTTCTGATGTATGACGGAGACATCGAACGACTCTTGGTTCTCGTCGCTCGATGCAGCGACGATCGCATCGGGAAAGAGATAATTGTATACACGCGAACATCGGGAAAATTTTCCAAGGAGCACACTATCAAGCTCTCAGCCTCGTTCGAGACTATTCAGGCAACAGGTTGCGATATCGTTGGAGTTCCCTACTGTTCAAAGCAGCTGCATCGAATTAGGCCAACAGTGAGTCCAAAGATGAACAGGGAAATCGAAAGCGTTTGCGATCCTCCTTCGTTTGCAGCCCGATTTTACGGACGCCAGCCTGGAGGCTTTACCTTCATTGCACCAAATGCGAAAAGTCGACGTCCATAAATCTTCGAATCACGCGATAATTACCTGTGGCTACGACGGTCTGGTGGTTTTGAGAGACTGCTCAGAACCGCGACGGGTGTTCGCTGTGTTCGCTGCACATCACCGAGAACAGGGAGGTTGTCTACGCGCCATCCTCGTCGGCAACACGATCGTCTCGCTCGGCAGAAACGGAGATCTGGTCGCTTGCAAGTTATCTCACCGGTTCGTTTGTTTTTTTACCCTTCTATTTTTGCGACTTTGATTAAACGCGATCTTGAACCAGGATCTTCGGTGGCAAAGGTGACAGTTCGAAACCTGACGTAACTGTCCGATCGAAAACAACAGATCGAGCGGATACTCGAACGGCGGCGAATAATGATCGATCCGTAACAGAAGAGGAATTGCATTCTCCTCGCTCTGTTTTGGATGACTGGCTAGAGTTGAAGCACAGAGTGAGTGCTCGTATTTTCAAGTTTGAGGAAAGAACTATTTGCTTAAATAAGTCATAAAAAAGAACGTGGATTAATTTTACGAAGATTAATTTCGCATGTGGATTTCGTAAAGAACGCAAATTAATTTTTGAATATTTCTCTCGAAAGAACTGGCATTTTTCAAACAGGTGAAAGAGCTGCTCGATTCGAACGAGAAGCAGCCACCGCACGCTCGATTACCGATCGCGGAGTTCGATCTCGATCAAGAGGCTCGAGAACGCGAACTGCAAGCGGCTCGATCGGAACACGAGTCGCTGTTGCGAAAGATCGAGTACACGATCGCGCTGCGAGATCGAGCGAGCTCCTATTTGCGCGAACAATTCTTGGAACCTCTGATCGTCCCGCGACGAAACGTCTTCTCCGTGTTCGGCCGGGCTAAGGTCGCCAACTATCCGTTGCTCAAAACCGATTCGCAAGCAGCGGATCTCCGAGCTTGGAGTTGCTTCTCGGGGCAAATGAGACAGCTCGTGAACAGGTAGATCTTTGAACTAATACCAAAAGGTCTCCCAAAAAGGAAGGACTTCCAATGATTTTAGGTTAGAGGAGGACAATAAAGAAAATCAAGAAAAGCTGTTTGATGCGTCTCTCGATCTGGGCTTTGTTGAAGTTCTCGAAGAGAATATTGAAGCGGAAGAGCGCGAACGTGAATTACAGGTGGGTAAATGCGAATACTGACTTCTCAAGTAACGTAGCTTTTTCAGGTTCGATTCAACGATCGCTTCGAGGAGTTACGAAGAGCGCGAAGAGATCAGAAGAGGACGGCAAGGAAGCTTGCGGACGATATTCGCAGCTGTGTGGATGAACTGAAGCGCGAATTCGGCGCGGACGCAAATACCGAATCGATCGAGATTCCGCGTTGGGATCGAAGTAGATCGAACAGTATCGAAGCGTCCGATTCGAGCGACGAATCTGTAAATTCCCCAGAGAGCGAAGTCGGAGGATCCTCGGCGGAAGAGGTCGATTTCCGTCGAGAGGCGCTCGACCGAATGATGGACGGCCTCTTGGAGTTTAGGTAATCGTTACGAGCTCATTGCCATGTTAGTCCTTAACATTCGTCGGTTGCGTAGATTGAAAAGGAGAAGCGTTCAGAAGTCGTCCAACGCGGAACAAGAGTTTCCGACCGAATCTTACGACCTCGCTAGTCAACGAGTCGATCGATCGAAGTACAAAACATTGCTGGAATCGGAGATCGCTCGAGCTAAAGGTATCGCGTTAATAAGAGAAGTGGAATGAAACTCGAGTTGGGTATTGATTTCAGACGAATTCCAAAGCGGCGCGGAGGCGTTCGACGAGCAACTGCGCGAGCTGAGCCTGGAGAAAATACGAGTGGAGCGGTCGGTGCTCTCCGAGAGACTATCCCGCGTTGGCACGATTCTCGATCATCGAGGAATCGTAAAACTGAGGCGGGAGATTCGTCGCGCGAGCGAGGATCTGTCCGCGGCGAGGACGAACGCGCGCAAGCTCGACGAGGAACGCGAACTGCTCGAAGCGGGCGTCGACCAGCTGAAGCATCACTACGAAAGCGAACGCGAGCGGGACAAGTCTCTAGAACAGCTTCTGATCGATGCACGATGCGAGCGATCGATCAGGCGTTATCGCCCGAAGCCGAGGATCGCGGAAGCGCGTTTCGCGTCCGTTACGCTTCTCGACGAGCTGGCTGCTTGCTTGACGAACGGACGGAGCTCCGAGATTCTGCCGACGGAATGGCTGGACTATTTGCGAAGCGCGGACACTGTGCCAGATGCGTTCCGTTCAGAGCCTGAACGTTGGCGCGCCGTTTGTCAACTCGGCAGACAGAAGCTGGAAGCGGAGACAAAGGTGAGTGAAAACCGAAAACGGGAGATCGAAGGTTAACGAGAGACGCAGGTGAAAAGGAGCGCGATCCAGTTGGCGGAAGCGGAAGACTCCGTGGCCTTTCTGCGAAACGCGTGCTGGAACGCTCGAGCCGCAATTGAGAGACGAGAACGGGAAATACGGGATCTGCGGGAGGCTCTGCTGGAGATTACGGAGAATCGAGAGGTTCGGCTGGTCGCGAAGACGGGACAGTTGCAACGGCAACCCGAGGGATGCCCGCGATCCGACTGGCAGGACGCGATTCTTGCTCCGCGGAGCGAGCTGGTTCGCGCGAATCAGGCGATCGTCGAAGCGGCGGAGAAAAGGCTGCTCGCCACGCGACGGCTCGCGAA